GCGGATCACGCTCCTGCCTCCGCCTGCCTAAATCCCGTCCCTCAACCGAGTACACACAACGAAGAAAGTCCGACATTCTTATTTAGCTTAGTTTATATCTATAGTATAGAAGACCCACTTGAACAACAACAGCTCTCATCGATGCACTTAATACGCGGGGTACGGCGCGTCCGTGTACGCGGGGTACGGCGCGTCTGTGTACGCAGGGTACGGCGCGTCCGTGCTCGATGGCGCCGGTGTCGTCGCCGCCGGCGTCACGGGCGCAGTCGTCGTCGCAACAGGTGTCGTGGGTGCAGTCGTCGTCACAACAGGTGTCGTGGGTGCAGCCGTCGTCGCAGCAGGTGTCGTGGCAACGGCCGTTGTCGGAGACGATGTCGTGGTAATAGCGGCCGTCGTCGGTGCAGCGGTCGGTGAGGACGTCATCGGCGACGTCGTCGGGGTACCTGTAAACGGCGACGGCGACGGGCACTTGTCCATAAAGATGAGCTTCTTCCCGACTTGCACCGTCGTAGCAATTGCACCGATGACGTCTTCGCTCGCAATGCTCAGTGCCACCTTGACGGCGGCGCCGACGATCTCGACCGTACTCGACGCACAGGTTGCGCTCGACGACGCGCAAAAGAGGCCGCACCGGAACGGCGTCTCGCCCGTGCACTTGGGCCAGCAGAGCGGGCCAAGACCCATGTAGCCCTCGTCGCACTTGGGATAGCAAAGCAAGCCGCTTTGTTCAAGGCCCTCGTCGCAGCCAAGGCGCGAGACGCCGACGCCACGACCATATGGTCCTTGCGGCAGAACGCGCCGTCGTCGTGCGAGCCGGCGGGGCAGTCGGGGGTGCAGATGCAGCAGCCAAACGCATGGTAGCCCTTCTCACACTTGGGGTACCACATGAGGCCGTTCTTCTCGCAGCCTTGCTTGTTTTCACGGTTGCACTTGTCTTGATTCCAGAGCGCGTAGCCCGAGCCGCGGCCGTACGCCTTGGGCTTGGTGCACGACATACCAATGTCGGTGACGCCTTGAACGCCGCCGCAGCCCTTCTTGCGGCAGATGCAGCAACCCACGTTCTCGTAGCCGTCTTTGCACTTTGGGTAGCAGAGCGCGCCCCACGGCTCTTCGCCCGCAAGACATTGGTTCGCGAGCACCGTGCCGACACCACGCCCGACAGGCTTGCGCATGCACACCTTGGGGTTCGGGTCCAAAAGCGAAAGCACTTGCTGGACCGCTTGCTGGACGCCGTTGGCAATATCCATGCCCTGAGCCGGGTCGAACGCTTCAAGCTTGGACGGCTTGGTGGCCCGCGCGACGTCCTGGAGCATCACTTCACTACCGTTGAGGTTGTGGAGCGCAAGCGCGTTGGCTTGTTCGAGGTTGAACTTGATGCTGTCGCGCAGCGTTTCGTTGAGACCGTCCTTGGCGATCGTCTGCATGTCCGCAATGAGCTGCGCAATGTTGCCATCGACGAGACGAAGCGTCGACGCCATGTCGCCGGCGTCGGGCTGCGCGTAAATGGCGACCGGTGCCGCGAGGCAAGCGAGGAGGTAGGCGAGTTGCATGGTGGTGGAAATTGAAAAGTGAGCCTTTTGGGATCGATAGTTTGTGGCACGACAGACGGTGCGATGTGCAGACACGGATGGAGAGGCAGTGCTGCGCGGCCTTGCACGCATGGAACATGCAGCGAAGATGCGTGGATGCCACCGGTACAGGTATGCTGGCTCTCTGCTATGTTGCACCGACGACGACGACAACAACAACGGACAACATGGTTGAAGTTGCAAGCGTCGGGCGCAAAAGATTGAAATGCGAGAAACCGTCTCCAATCGGTATACTGTATCCAGGGCATGCGCTGGCCGTTGACAATCATAGAAGGGGCTTGGAGACGCTACATTGTCTGTGTTTGCGTGTACAAATGGCATATCATTGTTCATTGGGACATGGTCGGAATACAACGTAACGTTAGAGGCTGCCCGCCTGCGGCAGCCGCCCAACGAGCCGCGTTGTTGACCAAGCTGCACCTCCAACATTTGCTGCTGAACACTCAAGCATTGTGCCTCTTCCAAATGATGGCAGCCCTGCGGCACGACGCATGGCTTCGCGACAACTTTGTTCCGGCATGTGCCGTTCACACGCCACGTCTCCCGCTCGGCGAAGCCTCTCGGCGGCCGGCTCGTCGTAGCACCTTGGAATCGCTAGTCCACCACCATATCCAGTTCAGTGTAAATTATATCTAAATAGACTCACTTCAACAACATCGTTGGAGGCTGCCACGAATGGTATCTGTGATGTGAAGGGACGCCTGCTGTGCCTCTGTATCAATAATGCACAACAAAAGGATCGACCATGCACGACCCAGATGCAACTGGTCGATCATGCACGACACCCGTCCGCAGCTGACCCGGCTACGTGTATGTTATTAGTGTACCCGACCATGACGGCACCTGGGTATACACAATCCTATGAGACACGCAACGACGTTGATCATTTGCGCCGATCGCGACGCGGCAGACAACCACACGCCGATAGTTTCACGATGCGTCAGTCGTCTGTGTTGTGTGTTGAGCGCTTGGGCAGCGCTGCAGCGGAACATCCTTTGTGGCTGATGACCTGTCGAGCTTTCTTGTTAAGGGCGATTAGCGCGAAATGCATGCAATCTTGGCTATCGAGCCAATGATCTCGACGCACACATGGACACGCTCATCGATGTACAAAGGAGGTCGCAGTAGGACCGAAACGATGACAGGCACGGGGTTCGCACCACTGTAGACGGTTGGGCGCGGCTTGTTGGCGAGACTGCGGCTCTCTTAAAGTTATTTGGGCACCCGAGGCGCGAGAGATTGTAGCTCTTATGGTAGAACGCGCCGTCATCGTGGGTGCGAGCCAGTAGTTGAGGAGAGTAGACGCAGTACCCGACGTTGTGAAAGCCGACTATGCACTTGAGGCTCTGCAACACAAGAGTATACTTGCATGCGTGGTTGTTTCAGAACTGCATTGTCTCGGTTTCCTGAACGCGTCGCCAACGCCGCGGCCATTTGCTGGCGTTGGGTACGCGCGACGCTACCATTATTAACGCCCTTCTTGCACTAAGGGGAGCAAAGTGCAATGAAGGCGCTTCCGCCTTCGTTGGGTCACTTCCAAGCACAGCGGAAGCGGTTTGCCGCGAAAGACGGAGAGAGCAAAGGGTGTTTTTCGGCGCACGGAGCGGAAACGATCGTTTCGAGAGCGGAGTTGCGCGACCACTCTCGTGTTAGATGTCGACTCCTGAGAAGCAACCCGCCGCTTCTTCCATGAGGCTGGGGCGGTCAGGCCCCACGCACCCTTTTCGTGCCAGAGCATTAGAGCATTCCTGCGTATCAAAACTAACCGAAAGCAGGCGATCAGTAGCACAAGTGGTCACAAGCGCGCCAGCTCGAGCCCAAGTACATGGAGGAGATGCCCGAGAAGAGACGAACCCGCCTCGCCCACCACTGACATGGCGGAGACACGGCTGTTGCCCCGAGTCGTTGGATCTTGAAAGAGGAAGCAAGGATTTCGGACGCCGCGACGGCATCGCGCCAAGAGAGAGGGCCGCAGCACCGACTGGATCGCGTTCGTGATGTAGTACCAGTTACATATTTATACTAATAGCACGAGTACGTTCTTCTAGTACGCGACGATTATCTTGGCCTACGCCGCTGACACCGTACGGCACGCTGCACATGAGCGCGGGTGTCTTGGACTAGGTATAACGAGAAGCTGCTGGCCCTCAGTTGTCGCTGAGGATTGGACAAGTCTGTTGTGGTGAACGTTCAGAATCTCAAGGAGGTCTCTTGCGGCGCGATCGACTGAGTCGTGATAAGCGCATCGAGAGGCATCGAGCCTCGAGAAAGAACCGCCTCGGAACAGCTCTCGGAACCTTCTGAAAACCAAAACCATCTGACGGCAAATGGCGATCTTGCTCGATTCCTGTAACAACTGGGTTTGCCCACTGATCTTGCAGTGTTGCGGGTGACTTCTGCAATGGGCTACGTAAACCGCAGTCCCTTATGGCACGACAGAGCCTGCGATCGCGAATACGAGATGACAACCAACGTGAATCGTTTTCGTGGAAGGGTTAAGGGTGCCTACATGTATACCGCCATCCTCGGCGGCCCTTGCGTTTCATCGTACTCTAGTAGAGGCGCAACTAGAATTTTGGGACTTGCTCAAACTGTACCGGTACCAGCACACATACTAGTGGGTGGGTACAGTACGTCGACGATAACGACATTTCGCCGTGGTGCACGCGATCACAAGTGCACAGATGTATACGTATGTGCTTACCGTGTGCATGCGTGACCACGCGGCAAATCTTCTTCAAGTGAGCAATCAGCGCATAGTATAAGTGAGCAATCAGCGCATGCGTGTGGACGCCACATGGGTGCGATGCCACGCGCCCAACGATCGGCTCTGGCTCGTTTATGCGCGCGACAAAAGCAACCCAAACGACGTCTCTATAAATCCACAACTCGCCGCATGTTGAGTCACTTGCAGGGGACGTATCGACACACCTTTCGCGTCCGAATGCAGTTTCCTTTCCCCTGCTTTCTTCACCTGTTGGGTGCTGGACTCGATTCGTGGAAATGTATGAGCCAAAAAGACCTCGACCACCGATGCCGTCGCACCGTGCATATATGTACGTGTAATCAGAGACGTTGTAATCTGGCTCGGCCGTGGTACGTGACCGCCGCAACGTGCAACTCACACAAAATCAGATTTGGTGCGGGGTAGGGCTGCTAGGCGTACCACGCGTTTCACATCCGGATGTTTTCAAAAGGTATCTTTCAACCACAACGTGTTCCCGATTCGTCTTCTTGGCTTGCACTCTAGTATAGTTGAATATCCAGTACTCGAATGGAGCCGTCTCAAGTTATTTGTACGCTGGAACTGGGCATGACCTGTACATTGGATCAGACGCGAGGCGTGCCGTTGCGGAGGGTCCAGATTTTCCAACATTTGTATGCATGGATGTACCTTCTCACGACAAGAAATGCTCAACTCGTACCTTTCATAACCTCCCCATCCTGTCGTTTCCACGACGCAGCTGCCAATGCATCAGATCACCCTTATCTTGTTGATCCTGGTAAGGACGCGTAAAAGACACTCATGGGTTTCTCGGGTACCACGAAATCGGTCCTATATCACCGCGAGCCATCGCCGCGTTTATAGCAACAATCTCGATGCTATCGAGTCGATGCGCTGGACAAGTGGCGTCGCTCTGGGCGTCGCCATTTGTGTTGGATAGTGTATCACGGTGTTACACTGTTTCCCTCCGCTCCGTGTCGTACCACGGGTTTAGGTAAACATAGCGGCGACCTCTACACCCGATAACAAACAGACACATCGATCTGTCAATTGCGTATTACCAACTCGCGTTCACGCAACTTCACCCACGCGTGGGTAAATTGTGGGGCGTTCGTATTATTAACAAGTGTGGGCAGGTTTGCTCGCCTCATTCTTTCATTTGCAGTCTCGGACGCATTTACCACCTCCATCAGCATGAAGCTCCTGTCGCTTTCCACGCTTGCACTTGCGGTCTTTGCCGTCGCGTCGGCCCAGCCCACGACACCGACCAATGTCTCGGTGCCCGAAGCCGGTGTCGCGTCGGACATCCCTGTCATCGTGCAGCTTGGCAAAGACGCCGTCCTCGATATCACCAACCTCATCAACGACTTCAAGGCCATCAAGGCCAGCGGCTTTACGTCCGACCTCGTCCAGCAAGCGCTCGGCCACTTGCAGAGCGCGATTGGCCACGGTGTCCGTGACGTCGGCCAGGCCAAGACGATCCTTGACAACATCAAGAATCTGCTCCAGAACGGCGGCACGCCCGCGGACGCGGCGGAGATCTCAAGCGCGCTTCAAAAGATCGTGCAGCTTTACTTCCCGACCAAGATGCCGACCAACTCGACGCTCGCCGACGACATCCAAAAGGCGTACGCCATGGGCGCCGAGCTCCGCGCAGACTTTGAAGCGATCGTCAAGGACCTCCAGCGCATCGCGGCCGGCGGCTTGACGCCCGAGCTCACGCAGTCGATCCTTGGCCACCTCCAGACGGCATGGAACCACGGCCTCAACAACCTCAAGGACGGCAAGAAGATCGTCGACGACATCAAGGCGATCGTGCAGGGCGGCGGCGTCGACATCAAGGACGGTGTCGCCATCACGAACGCGATCCAGTCGGTGCTCCAGCAGTTCCTTTTGACGCTCGACCCGAACCCGAAGGTCTGCATCCGCGATGGTGTCGGCCGCGGCTTTGGCACGCCCGTCGTCAACCAGTGCTTGGAAGGCGAGGAGGCCTACGGTGCGCTCTGCTACCCGAAATGCAAGGAAGGCTACGAAAAGGTGGGTTGCTGCCTCTGCCGCAAGAAGGGCTGCAGCGGCGCCGAGGGTGTCACCGATGTTGGCGCCTCGTGCACCAAGCCCAAGGCGTACGGCCGCGGCGCCGGCTACACGCTCTGGAACGAAGACAAGTGCAATGCTGAAAACAACGGCCAGTGCGAGAAGAACGGCCTCATGTGGTACCCCAAGTGCAAGCCGGGCTACCACAGCTTTGGCTGCTGCATTTGCACGCCCGACTGCCCCGCGGGCACGACGGACGACGGCGCGTTCTGCCGCAAGGACCACTATGGCCGTGGCGTCGGTGTCTCGCGCCTTGGCTGCGACAAGGGCCTCGAGAAGAGCGGTCTCTTTTGCTACAAGCCGTGCGCGCCCGGCTACAAGGGCGTCGGTCCCATGTGCTGGCCCCAGTGCCCGCCGTCGATTCCGTCCAACTGCGGTCTCTTCTGCACGTCGACGAGCGCCACGTGTGCCTCGAGTGCGATCGAGATCATTGGGTCTGTTGCCAAGATCGCGTTGAGTGCTGTCAACAACGATACGGCCGGCGCCATCTCGACGGGTATTCAGGCTGGCGCGAAGGTCATCACGCTCGAGAAGTGCCCCAAGCCCTAAGCGGCCATCACGTCGAACGAAGAGTGGTGTTTCAGATTTTCACCAAGGTTTTGTGAATCCTCGACTAATCGTTTACTGTTAATACATGCAGTCATGCCTTGCAGGTTCTAAATCCATTCTACATCCTGCAGCAGACTCTTCTGTCCTAGCTTGTTGGTGTCCTAGCACACGAGGCATTCGGGCAAGCAACGGAGAGCAACTAATTGTCTTGTCGACAAAAGCAGTCGCTGAGACTGGCGTTTGATACAGACAGAGTGATTATATCAAACAACTTTTGTACAATACAATTGTAAAGACCCGTGTGAGATGTTGATCGAAATTACTTTTCTCATCGGCGACTTAACTTGATGGTTCCAAGCGTAAAGATGGCACGGCGTCGACCTGGGCCAATACCCAAGCACGCCCCGCCGACGCTACAGGTAAGAAATGATCACCCACCGCCCCCCCGGCAACATCAAATGTTTCGTCATATCGCTGTGGTAAAGCCTCCGACGTCCAGATGAGCACACGTTGCTGCCACGAAAGCAGTGCCGCGGTTGGCACCCGCGATGATACGCTCAACCACGCGATGGTCGGACTGCTACCGACTTGTTCACGCGTGCAACCAGTCGGGTTGTCCGCTATGTTGCCCAACGCGCGTTTAATGTCACGCGAGGCATAGATTGTAGCACGGTTGGTTCAAGATCGCTACACACTGGAACCAAAGTGCGGCGCGTTGCGAAGCCTTGATCTTGCGAAGCCTCTGTCAATCGTTCTTTCAGCGTCTTCATCGTTCCGTTGCGGCGCACCGTGAATCAGCGCTGGGTATGAATCGTTTTCGTGAGTTTCATACCGCATTGACTTGAAGGGTTCTGCAGTGCGAGCACGTCGTCCTGGGCTCTGGCCTACACGATACTTGCAATCAAGAGAAACCACGAGCGCTCGAGCGATCATGATTTGTCACCCACAGCCACAAATCAACTGGCTCTTTTCAGAAGAGTGGCACTCGCCAGCTTTCTGGTCTACCAAAGGCGCCTAGCTGATGTCTGCTTGGTGCATTTAGGCGTTTCGATGTGTGGCAGATTTGACGAACGGCTGCTCGGCGTGAGACTGCAGCAGTTATTGGTCTTGTTGCCGGGGCCGTAGACGACGCAGGTGGTCGTTGTCTTGCCCTTGGGAGAAACATGTGTCCCAATCGATTGCGCTATTCGACGAAGGGTCGAACGCTTGCAGTGGCCCATCAGTTTTCTCTAGTAGGGGCTTGTGCCACCTGGAGGTGCGGCTGGCGAGCCCCCCCCCACCCGAGGCCCATTTCTACCTGCGGCGCCGCCTCAAGACCCGAGCCATCGATTTTTGACCCGGCTTTTGTAACAGATACATGGGTGACCAATATCAAGTTCACGACAGCCGTCCTTGAATTGTTGTTGATACTCGTTCAATTCCAGTACGAGTTGATATCCTCGTAGCGGAGACTGCCTGCGACAACAACAATCACCATGGAGTAAAAACCATGAGAATACAAATGACACAAATGTTCATGTTTGTTCAAGTCAGCTCTCGTCTTTGCTTTGAAAGATTCGCGTCGCGGTCTCCCAGTATTCCTCACTTCCAAATACATCGAGCACATCACACATGCAAAATACTACCAAGCACAACTTCGAGAAGCGCAACGACGAGCTCGTTGCTGCCGACGCGACGTCCAAGACCGTGTCGTCGAGGGAAGCAGCACCGGATCAAGACGCGAACTCTATCGACGCTGCGCAGGCGACACCCAAGATGCTTACATGCCTTCCGCCCGCGTTCATGATTGCCTTCGAGTCAATCCACGTCCATGGCGAAGGGGTCTTGGGTCGCAGTGCCCTTGGAGGTGTCACTCACGACGGGACCTTTGACGGCGCACCAGTGAAAATCCTTCGGATCGAATCGCCGACACCCGAGTCGGTTCTCAAGGTCAACCGAGCCGTGCGCCACCAAATTGACGTGCATCATCCCAACACTGCCCAGTTTTACGGCGTGAGCTGGGAGACGGGCGCACCGCTGTGCATTGTCACAGAGCACGCAGCTCACGGGACGCTCGCGATGCTACTGGCGTCCGACACGGACCTGAGCCTCGTCCATATCGTGCACCTTCTACTGGACGTGGCGAGGGGTATGCTGTACCTGCATTCGCAACCAACGCCTCTCCTCCATCGCGATTTGCGCGCTGCCAACATCCACCTCATGTATGTACCCGCCGAGATGCAGGCCATGCGATCTGATATGTGTCGTTTGTCTCTATTAGGCACAATTTCAAGGCCAAGGTGGCCAATTTCGAACTCTGCGGCAAACTCGGGCTCGAGACGTCGCTCGTAGGGACGCCAGCGTGGACCGCTCCCGAGATGTTGCGAGGCGAGAGGGACTATACGGAGAAGATTGATGTCTACTCGTTCAGCATGCGTACGTTGGAATCTGGGAGATGTACTGTACCATGGGACTCATTCGCGGTTGCTATTTGTGTAGTGATGCTCGAGATCTTGAACCGAAGAGCGCCGTACTCGGATGCTGCATTGTCGCCGGACGAGCTCTTGCACAAAGTAGCCCACGAAGCCTACCGACCGAGCCTTGTCGAGCGGGATATGTGGCCGATTACGCTCGTGGAACTCATGGAAGCGTGCTGGCAACACGACCCTACGGACCGTCCCGCGTTTGCTGACGTAGTTGCGATTCTTGACAGTATTCTTTCGGAACACTGCTAATGGCGTCTCGGTGCACAAGCGAACTGCAGCGATCGAAGCGGCGGTAGATGGTCCACCGCGATTCTAGCCCGTCCACCGTGGACGGGCTAGAATCGAGTGGATTCCAACTCGATGACAAGGAAGGCTGATATCGTACTAGTAGCTGTCTAGCTAGACGTGACCAAGGACATAAAGTCCTTGCTGTGATGAACGTTAACACGAATGATGTGTACTCGTGCGTCTTACCGAGCGTGGAGTCGCATGCACACGTCAGAGTTCCAACGAGTTGGGTGGCAATCAAAATAGGTGGCAGTCGCCGTTGTGCTTATGATATCTTTAAAATCCGCTCGCAATACAAGCAAAGACATGTGGCTGATGGGATCCAAGGGTGCCAAGCAGGATAGACAGCAACATGATGGATGCGCTTCTGGACCCAGACCTGTACGAACGGGCTGCCACGTCAGGCCGAGGCGCACCGGATCTGAAGACTTGGCAGTAACTTTCCGCGGGCTATACGCTTTCCGCTCACCGTGCTGCAATTCATCTACTAAGATATCTTGTTGCGCGTAGGATTGTTCCATTCAATGGGGCTTGTGGACCCATCAACCTTTTGATGTAGTCGTCTCACAGGAACGAATAACGCGCTGCATGGCTCGACAGGGCCGACCAAGCGTGCCTCTTCTGCCCCGCGCACGAGACGTACCGCCACTTCCTCGTAGACTGCGACTTCGTCAACGACGTGTGGAGCACGCTTCACGCCGTCACGGTCCCTTTGGGTGTGACCTTGCCGACTACGCTCTCCGGCTACCTCTACTTGACGCCCAAGACGGCGTCCAGCATGCACCAAGCCGCGTTCCGCTACCTCTGGCCCGTGCTCCGCGCCTGCGTCTGGTTCAACGTCTGGCGAGTCCGGAACGACCGCGTCTTCCGCGCCGACCTACCGCTGCCAAGTCCATGGACGATTGCCGTCAAGGCGGCACGTGTCGCTCAACTGCACGTGCACCACAGCCTCGTACGAGAGCCCGAGCAGCCTGCTCTTCGTCGTCTTCTCCAGCTCCTCGCCCAAGACGAGTGGCCGCGATGTCACCTCGTCCCGCGGATCGCGCTCCTGCCTCCGCCTGCCTAAATCAAGTCCCTCAACCGAGTACACACAACGAAGAAAGTCCGACAATTTTATTTAGCATAGTTTTATCTATTGTAATAGACGACCCACTTCAACAACAACGAATAACGCGCTGCAACCTTCATGACCCATGTCTTGAGTGATGTTGTCAGCTACTAGTACAATGCAATCGTGTACTCTCCAGCTAAGTCGAGGGGTTCTTCAACCGGTTGGCTTTGTGGTTTGAGGCCGGTGCGTGGACAGCAACCTTGGCCGACGTCGCGTGAAGCGAGTCGGTACCCATACGTACGCCACGAATCCGATCGCGCGGATTTTCTTGCCGGCGTAGGCGGCTGGTTCTCGGAGCTAGCGTTGAGTTGTGTCTTGACCTCGCCAAGCGTTTCGACCTTGAACTTAGAGCCCTGTAGTACCTTGGACGATAGCGCCGAGATTCGAAGCGACGATTGAATTCGTTGACCGTGTCGTATAGGACGATGGCATATACATGAGAATTAGTGCGCGTTAGGTGCAGTCGAGGGCCGTGATGGAAAGAGAACGAGCGAAAAGGAGAGTGGCGTCTGGCGTAAGGGTTCATTCACAGTGTCGGGCGATAACAAAAAGTTGATAACCCCATCAACTAATATTGTATTTGAAGCTTCTCATTCGATCATGAGCACCGAGTGCACTAGATGCCATACGTCAGGAACAAACGGCAAGTGGGTGCTTTCAGAAAAGGACCCAAAAAAATTGCGTCGGAAAGTCGTCCGTGCTGTGATTTCCGCTCTGTCCTTTCTTACAAAGCCGGCGCAGTTTCGATCCGAGCGATTGGACGCTTTCTGAGTGGCCTATTAAAAGCTGCGCTTCACCAATTGTTGGCGATAACATCTCGTCCGCTGCCCGGAAAACTCCCTTGTATTACTTGTGACCAAGTGGCAGGATAAAATAGAGTACTAGTATACCGGTACTACGAAAGAGACGTTGGATGCGCCGAGTCGCCAAGCCACCGCTTGAGACAGCTCCGCGTGACGTTTTCAAGGAGTTTTCTCGTCACTGATTGGCTGCATCTGATAGACGTCCGGATTGGTCGAGAAAGGCGGCATGTGATTGGCTCTGGTCTGCGAAGGGCAATCATTCACTTTTCCATCGTGATGAGCTCCGGCGACGACGACAACGACGCTGTACGACGCAGCCGACGCACCGATGTCACGCTCTCTTGGTGTAGACGCGTCACCGCTTCTTTGCAGCGTGCGCCAAGGGCGACGTGACCACGGTCACCGAGACCCTCGCGCTTGGCGACGTCGACGTCAACGACGTCGACGACGACGGCAATGGCGCACTCTTGCTCGCGTGTAAATACGGGCAGCTGGACGTCGCCCAGCTTCTCTTGCTTCATCCGTTTCTAGATGTGAATGCATTCAACGACGTAATATGTAGAACCGCCACTGTGCACTACCACCATGATAGACTCGTAGGTGGGCTATACGCCGCTGATGGAAGCCGTCGATGCGAGCCACCCCGCGCACGTGGCCGCACTCCTCCAGCACCCGAGCATCAACGTTGAAGCGACGGCGCCGGTTCGAATCCTCACTTTGTCGCGGATATTCATTTTATCGTGCATCCTCAAACGAGTAGGGCGGGTCCACGGCGCTCATGCTCGCCTGCATCCAAAACGAAGTCGAGATTGTTACGCACCTGCTCGCGTACCCTGGTCTCCGTGTCCACCACGGCCTCGAGCGCACGGGCATTACCCCCTTCATGATGGCGTGTTGCCAAACAACACGGATGTGGCCGCCCTCTTTGTGTCGCGACCCGAATTCGACATCAACGCCACCGCGCACGAGGTGCCTCCATCTCTCGCTCCCTCTCTCGGTAGTACACGGTCGGATGGTGGTTGAAACGATTAGGGCATCTGCGCCTTTATGCTGGCCTGTGCCAGCGGCGCCGTCGACGTCGTCCGCTTTCTTCTGGACCAGCCGCGTCTTCGCGTTAACCAAGTCGATGCGGTAGGTCTGCTGTCATCGCATCCTCCTATGTAGTACAATGGATTCGAAAGCAGCATGACTATCCTAGAACGGCAGTACGGGGTTTCTGCAAGCCTGCCGGCGCGGTCAGACCGCCGTCGTCGAGGCGCTGCTATCGCACCCTGCAACGGATCTTGGCGCGACGACACAGGCATGGACAATATATTGCACATTTGTTTGCGTGTAGTACGACGGTACCGTACGTCTTGTAGAACGGCTACTCGGGGCTATTGCTGGCGTCGGACGGGGGGCATTCAGACGTTGTCCGGCTGCTCTTGCCCCAGTCCGACATCAACCTTGTCGACGTGGTACGACCGATTCGAAAACCTCTACCGAGCCCATACTACGCCCATGTCTAGAGAGGGGTCTCGGTGCTCATGTATGCGGCGCAGCAAGGCCGGACCGAGATTGTGTCATTGCTCCTCGCGCAACCGGGGCTCGACGTCAACTGCACCGATAGCGTAAGCAGATATCCCTTCTAGCCGATGAAGCAGGACGACATTGCTGTAGACTGGACGATCGGCCTTTCTGCACGCTTGCGAGCAAGGGCACGACGACATTGTCGGCCTCTTCCTCGACCATCCAAACGTAAACGTGCACCAGCGCAGCCATGTACATTGACGCCATCGTCGTTTCAATGGTCTGAGTGGGAGAGATAAATGTAGGATGGCTGCGCGGGCATGGTGCTTGCGTGCGGCGGCGGCTGGCTCGGTGTCGTGGATCGCCTTGTGAGTTCTGGCGCGCTCGACGACGTCGCGGCCAAAAACGAGGTACTAGCACCATTGAAAACAACCCACGTGATATCGCAGCAGATGGGGCCGACGCCGTGGCTTGCAGCGTGCAATGGAGGCCACGACACCGTGCTTCGCTATCTTGTTCAAGCACGGCCCACGCTCAATGTCAACGACGTCGATCGGGTCAGTGGCAACGACACGTATCAATGTATCGAGCGATGTGTAGGACGGCAACTCGGGCTTGGTGCTCGCGAGTGCGCACGGGTATCCCGACACTGTCGACTACCTCTTGGACCTGCCGCGCATCGACGTCAACCTCGTCAACACGGTAGAGTCGGCCTTTTTTTTGGAAAAAATGGGGGCGACAGGTGGACGATCGCGTAGATGTTGCATTCGGCCCTCCACGTCGCGTGTTCGCATGGCCACGCGGTGATCGTTGCCCTGCTTTTGCCGCTCGTGTCGCCCGAGACCCTCAACGCGCCAGACGAGGTCGGTTCTTTTATGTCATTGCCAGACGTACTATGCGAGGTGTTGGGTAGGACGGCATGACGCCGCTGCTGCTCGCGATTGCCGACGACCACGCTGGTATCGTACGGCAGCTCTTGGCCGAGCCCACGATCGACGTCAACGCGCCCGACGGCGTACAGTACCCCGCTTGACAAACGCAGCGTGTCAAACTTCGTTCTATGCAGGAGGGTCGGACGCCACTCATGGCCGCCAGCCTCTTTGGCCATTGCGAGATCACGCGCGCGTTGCTGAGTCATCCGCACGTGCTTGTCAACGCCCAAGACGAGGTCAGTTCGATGCTGGATTCCGCGTGCGAATGCGATGACTACATGGTATGTAGGAAGGGTCGTCAGCGCTATACTACGCGTCGGCCCTCGGCTTTGTTGATATTGTGGACGCCCTTCTCGACGCGACCAAGGACATTCAAGTCAATGCCACGACGCTGGTAATAGATAGAGTAGGACACGTAAGTTGCTGACATGCGTGGTAGACGGGGATGACGCCGCTCATGGCTGCGATGGACCGTGACCATGATCGTGTGGTTGCGACCTTACTCAAGCACCCTGCTATTGTCGTGCCCGAGGCCAAGCGCGACGCTGCCCACGCTCCGTAAGCTCTGTGAGACAGGACCACGGAGGCTGCCCCAGCCTCTTGCGATGCGAGCGATTGGTTTCCATCATTGCTTGTTGTAATAAATGTTGGAGAAACAGCAGGATGACACGGAGCCAATGAATGCTGCACGGTTGTACAGTCGTCCGTCCATACGTTGACAAACGAGCACATGCTACCGGTAGGACACCATGCCATGTCGGCTAGCATCGCTGACGAGTGATGCCACACACTAATAGACTCTGGCCAGCTTGTCTAATAGTACGTAAACGTGTACAGCTCTTAGCGCCAACGGTGCAGACAAGACGGCGCATGGGAGGACTAGACGAGCGATTGGTTGCTGTTTCTCAACAACTGGTCTGCGGCACGCGCCTGTCTCTGACACCATTGCGATGCACAGAGGATGCTGTGTAGTCCTGTGCGTAAAGACGGCCAAATGTACTTGACTTTGGGGCCATGTACCCCGCGCATCCGTAAACCATACCATTGCACACGAGCCTTGGCACCGGTCCATGCAATGTCCATGCTGTCTATCATCGCAGTTGGATGATGAGGAGTGTCCAACCATGGTGTCCAACGACCCTGCCAACGACCATTCCGCCTTTCCCACATTGCTCCAATTTCGCAATGACCTACCACCGGGGTCTTACCAAAACAATACCATACAAAAATCAAGGTTCAAAGCCCCGGAACGATAATCAGATGGGTGGGGGACCCTACAAAATGAAGCAGCTGTTGACACGCAAGCAAAGTGCTGGCGGCGCATTGTTGAACAGTCGGCGCAATCATGAAGCGGACATGGTCGCGCTGCGTGAACGGGCCCTTGGGGCAGCGCGTGACGTTCGCCGGCGTCTGTGCCTACGTGCTCGCAGCCACGGCCTTCTTCATCGTCCACCAACTGTACACAACGCCCGCGCACAGGTATTCGTGCCTATCGAGCTCCAATGTCGTCACCACGATGCGTAGAATTCGGCACGTCTTGGTGGCGAGCCTTACACCGCTGCGGCACGCCACCTGCAACTACCAAACGACCGCCTTTTCTTCGCGTTACGAAGCGATCTATGCGGCCCCGCCATCCCCGCCGGCGTCGCTCCAAGCCCTGCGACGGTACGCTTTGACAGCATACAAACCGTCTTGACGCTTTCTTTCATATAGCCACTCGGACGCGCAGACGCAACTATCGTGGGCCGACTGTCTTCCCATGCGCATGGTGGTCTGCGGCGTCAACGCTGGCTCGCAAGACTCGCTCTTCACCCAGTCGCCGCCGTGCCGGTCCGCCGTCTTGCACCATCTGCTCGTCGCGACAGCCGCCGTACGTTCCATGCAGATCTTATTTCTGACTTGGCATATCTCATGCAACAGGCTATTCAAGAGCGCGGCTACAGTGCCATGCCGATTGGTTCCGGGCTGCAGCATCTCTGGGAACACGGCGCGCTGCCGCCCAACGCCACCAGCATTGATGTACGACCGCCCATTACCCACTCGATAGATGCTGCGCAGGCTGACAAGGTTATCCTGGTCATAGATGCTTACGGACGCCCCGATTGATCTCGCCGCGTGGTTTTGGGCCCGCGGGTTTGCCCACTTTGTTGATGAGAAGAGCGGCCATGCGGTCACGTGCATGGCCCCCCACCACACGCTCGCGACTCTTCTCTACGCGGACGAGGGAGCAAGAGCAGTGCCGCCACCGTATTTGCGCTGGTCGACGATGTTGAGCGTCGACGATGTTTTCACGATTGCACCCGAGAAGGACCATGTCTATTGGCAGTGGCACTTGACGCCGCTCGCTTGCTTGCCATTGTACAACTCGTCGATGCTCGCGCCGTCGTTGCCTGCTTCGTTCTTTACAGCGGGACACAGTGACCAAACGCAGACATCCAACGCCACATACCCCAACCCAGCATGCGAGATCCTGTGTGACCAGGACACGCCGGCCCTCATACGCAATGTCGACGCCAACGTTGCGCGCTGTCCGCTGCGCAACGATGCAGAGTACAACGCGCGACTCGCCGGGTACTTGCGCCAGCCGCTTCCGCTGCAGCTCTCGCCAGCGCACGAGCCGTACATTGCGCCGTTTAGCGACACGACCAAGCTCCGCGAAGGCAAGCCGTGGGAATACTGTCTTCCGATCAAACCGCAGCAGTGTGGCGCGCGACGTGGTATCAAGACGACCCTCTTCGAGACGCCGCAAGGCAAGCCATGCCGGTCGGCCGTGCTTCAGATCCTCCTTGAGAACATGCTCGAGGTCGTCCAAGAGCTGCACCTTCCGTCGTTTGTCTACTTTGGCACGCTCCTCGGTATGCATGGCCCGAAAAATAGGCACCAAGGCGACGTATTACTTAACGATATTTGTGTGCTAGGCGCGTGGCGCGACGAAGCCATCATTCCGCACACGGCCGACGTCGACGTCGTCCTGCCGTCGTACACGAACTGGACCCACGTCCAGGATGTCATGTGGGCGCGCGGCTTTTACGTGTTTAAACGTGATATCCACGGCGCCTGCGTCGCGTCGCACCACCCGCTCGCGTCATTGCTGTATGCGCCGGATGTAGGTCTTTCGACATATGACGTGGCAGCGTCTCCATGCGTCGTGTGTGTAGCAAACGCGGACCGACTCGTCCATGCACGGCACGCCGTATCTGGATCTGTACATGTGGGAAAAAGAGTACACTACATCCACGGCGTACATCCAGGTCGAGACGGCCAACGCCAAGCTCACCGCGTCCCAAGTGTTTCCACTCACGTGCAACCACACGATCTTTGGCAGTCCGGTGCCCGGCATCCAGCACCCGGAAGCCATGTTCAAGAGCGAGTACGGCGACACGTACGACGTCGACCCGAATTTGCGCCTCGAAGCGTGCGAGTCGTACTGCGACTACCAGCTCGTTCCAAACAAGAATGTCCCGGTCACGTAACTAGATCAATAGAGAGTTGATTAGAGATACACGTCGACCACCATGTCGAGCATGTTGCTTGAAGACACATGCGGTGACAGACATGTGCATCCAACTTTCATCAATGGCGAGCCGACATCCCATCGTTGCCGTCTTGCGCCTTCCAAAGGCGCTTGTGTGGGTTGCGACTCGGACTAGTATGCAGACGCCCAAGACGGCGTCCAGCATGCACCAAGCCGCGTTCCGCTACCTCTGGCCCGTGCCCTGCGCCTGCGTCTGGTTCAACGTCTCGCGAGTCCAGAACGATCGCGTCTTTCGCGCCGACCTACCGCGGCCAAGTCGATGGACGATTGCCGTCAAGGCGCCATGTGTTGCTCATCTGCACTTGCACGACAGCCTCGTAGAAGAGCCCGAGCAGCCTGCTCTTCGTCGGCTTCTCCGGCTCCTCGCCCAACACGAGTGGCCGCGACGTCACCTCGTCCCGCGGATCGCACTCCTGCCTCCGCCTGCCTAAATCCCGTCCCTCAACCGAGTACACACAACGAAGAAAGTCCGACAATTTTATTTAGCATAGTTTTATCTATTGTAATAGACGACCCACGTAAACAACGGAGAAGGCGATAACAGGTTAGGTCCTACGCCAGATCTCGTGGTACGCTACAGTACGTGGCATTCGTCGTCGGTGTCGAGGTCATCGAACGTCTTCAGTGTCGTCCTCTGTCATCAGTGTCGTCCTCTAATATGTAGACGATAATAGACGACCCACTTCAACAATGACCGCAGCTGTCGTTCCCAAGGATGGTCCAGAAGTATATAGTACCTCGGTAGATCTTGTCATCTCGCATTGATGATGAGCATGCATTAATGTCTTTGGAACGAGTCGCCGCCGCCGTGCCATATTTGCACGCTGTCCACCGTTGCATCCAGAGGTGCGACTCTACATTCTTTCATGTACTAGCATGCCACGTTGCGAACATCTACTTGCCGCTGGTTACGGTCGCATTGTCCAGTAATTGGTAGTCGCAGTACGCCTCGCACGACGCCAAGTGCAGTCTCGGGTCCGATGCGTATGTCGATCCATACTCACTCCGAAACATGGCTTCGGGAAACTGAATTCCGGGCACGTGGTTGCCAAAGATCGTCTCGTGGCACGTGAGCGGAAACATGTAGGGCACGGGCAGGTCGGCTTGGGCCGTCTCGACGTGGATCTTGCGGTCCTTGACGCGCCGCCACATGTACAAGTCCAAGTACGGTGTTCCGTGCTCCGACTTGGTCGTCGTCACCAGCGTATGCTACACACACGCAACTTGCATCTCCCGCTGCCACGTCATCACCCGTACCTTGGGCGCGTACAAAAGCGATGCGAGCGGGTGGTGCGACGCGACGCAGGCGCCGTGGATATCACGTTTAAACACGTAAAAGCCGCGCGCCCACATGACATCCTGGACTTTGGCCCAGTCCGTGTTGGACGGCAGGACGATATCAATATCAGGCGTGTGCGGGATGATGGCTTGGTCACGCCACGCGCCTAGCATTGTCAAGTTAGTCCTCTTGTCGCATAGTTCTTGGGAATTCATACCAAGTAGGGTGCCATAATAGACAAACGACGGAAGACTGAGCTCCTCGACGACCTCGAGCATGTTTTCCAGCAGCAGCTGCAGCACGGCCGACCGGCACGGCTTGCTTTGCGGCGTCTCAAAGAGCGTCGTCTTGAGCCCGCGCCGCGCGCCACACTGCTGCGGCTTCATCGGAAGACAATACTCCCACGCTTTTCCTTCGCGAAGCTTGGTTATGTTGCTAAACGGCGCAATGTACGGCAGGTGTACTTCATCGAGCTGCAGCGGCAACGGACGGTCCAAGTACTTGGCCAATCGCGTGTTGTACTCTGCGTCGTCGCGCAGAGGACAGTGGGGCACATTGGCCTTGTCATCGCGAAGGCTGTACAGCACATCATCGTCACAGAGCGCTTCGCAGTGAGGCCGAGGCCCCTTGACGTCGACATCGTCGTGGTGTCGCATGCCTTGCGCCGCCGTAAAGAAGGTTGCGGGGTGCGCCGGTGCCGTGATCGACGCACCGTACAGCGGCAAGCACGTCAACGGCGACAGCTGCGCGCGTCGATACGCATGCTCCGTCTGCGATCCAACGAGCAGCTGGTCCTTGACCGTATGCAGCGTCGACCAGCGCAAGTGCGGTGGCGGCACCGCTTTTGCTGCATCTTCCGCGTAGAGAAGAGTCGCGAGCGTGTGGTGGGGGGCCATGCACGTGATCGCATGGCCGCTCTTCTCATCAACAAAGTGGGCAAATCCGCGGGCCCAAAACCACGCGGCGAGATCACTCGAGGCGTCCGTGAGCATCTACCAACAGCATCATCCCCTCATGAGCCTGTGTCGATTCCATCAGTAGAGTAGGTCATGGGATGCCGTACATCAATGCTGGTGGCGTTGGGTGGCAGCGCGCCGTGTTCCCAGAGGTGCTGCAGCCCTGTGCCAATCGGCATGGCTGCATGGCCTTGGTCTTCGATGGCCTAGCAACACGCATATTCGCATGAGATATGTGAGGGATAAGATCTGCATGGAACGTACGGCGGCGGTCGCGACGACGAGATGGTGCAAGACGGCGGACCGGCACGGCGGCGACTGGGTGAAGAGCGAGTCTTGCGAGCCCGCGTTGACGCCGCAGACCACCGTGCGCATGGGCAGACAGTTAGACCACGATCGGTGCGTCTGCGCGTCCGAGTGGCTACAGCAAGCACGATGAGGCATGCGCATGGCTTGTATGGATCGTGTACCGTCGGAGGGCTTGGAGCGACATGGGCGGCGACGGCGCGCTCGCATAGATGGCTTCGTACTGCTCGGCAAACGCCGGCGTCTGGTAGCTGCAGTCGGCGTGCCGCAGTGGCGTATGGCTCGATGCATGGCTACCGAGGCTGTGACGACCCGTGTTGTTGAGTACCGGTACCTGTGACGGGTGGTCGCTGTGTACTGGCGGTGAAGCAAGAAGAAGGTCGTGGCCGCGAGCATGTAGGCGCAGATGCCGGCGAGCGTCAAGCGCTGCATCGTGGGTCCTCTCAGAAGACGTGGCCACGTGACCTTCATGGCGCCGACTCTGAAATGCCAAGCGTCGTGTTGCGCGTCAACAGCTGGTCGCCTTTTTTTGTGGGCCCCCAGCCATTTGGTACCGTATTTTATTTTGAGGGTACGATTTATCACAACGTTTGTATGCTGAATTTATTAGTATTAAATGATTGGGTAGGACCCGGGTCCGTTATGTGTTGCTGGACGACCACCAAGTGCGTTGGACGGTCGTCTCCGCGGTCACTAAAGTTGGAGGCGGCGACTACATCCAAGCAGAGACGCAGAGACTGCGTGGTGATAGTACCAGGCACCGTGTCTGTAGAACAGAACCGGTATGTAATTGTCTTGGTCCAGCGTCGAAACTTTCGACCTCGGCGCCGAGGCAACAGCTGGATGAGGTGTAATGGGTCTGCATCGGCTGGCCACGCCAACACCGTTGCAAGTTTTGTACGTCCTATATCGTCCTCAGTACAGCTCCACCATTAACACCTTAATCTGTACCCTGGAACATGAACTACTTGGTAGTCGGTTGACTCGATGTGCAGCCCGATTCGAAAGCTGTTTTCGACTCTTCGTTTCGCGGTACCGGTAGCTTCCCCACGTACACACTGAAAGAGAGACGAGTGTTCAGCATGAAACTGCGCCACCATGCCCCCACGCTCATTCGGGATCGCGTCCACTCATGACTCATGTGTCGCGGCCTTGTCATGAGTCATCATGACACGGCTGCGGGACGCTGGGAATATTGTACTACATCAGTCTTGCCATGTCCCTTCGCCAACCAGACATACGAAGAGAATGACATCGTCTGTGACGTCTACAGCACGACGAGTGTCGAATGTTGGGGCTTCCGTGTTTGGACAAGCAACAAAACCTCGAGTACGGGTAGCTCTGCTGTAGATGGCACCTTCTACACGCCCACGATGCCACGTCACGAGGACGCTTATTCGGATCCGGATAACGATACGCCGAGCCGCTCGATCTCTGCGACGATCCATCAATCCATCCATCAGACGTGTTGGCGTTGAAATAAAATGAGCAAACACGAACTCCAAGAGGTTGCATACATGGCGCCTGAATAATGCGTGGGAGGGGTTCGTTGGGGGCACGCGATGGTATCGGTTGCACGCGCGTACATGCAACGCGTTCGCTGTATTTTGTCGTGCAAGAAGTTCCATTGCGATACCTCGACATGCGCACTACTCGTCGTACATCTTATTCTGGACGTGTACATGGTCAACAACTGTTGAGGCTGCACACGACCGACACGAGTGGGGCATGAAAAAACGAAGGTCGGCCAAGGAGTGCAAGAGAATCCCCCACATTGCAGCACCTACATTGAGGCATGGCGCCCGGAGTGCCACGTAACGTGCGTGTTCATAAACAAATATTTTATTTTGCTACACGTGGAGGGTCTCGCGTCTGTAAAAGCACTGCGCTACTGCCCGCACCGACCTTCTGCAACGTCTGTGGACGAGCGCCGCTTGGATGGACGGTGTCGTGACGAGGCGGCGATATGGGTACATGTGGTTTCATGGTACGTGGGTCTTTCGTCTCTACGAAGATTTCAATCAATCCATCAATCAATCCATCCATCAATCAAGGGTACACGTGGCGCAACGTCTATAGGGCGTCCCGCCAAAGTCGTCAACACTGTGACATTCGCTTCTGCTTGTAATAACCCATACCAAGGCGCCCAAGGATAACAGAAGACGCGTCAAGACGACACTGAAGACGCTCGATGACCTCGACGCCGACGACGTATGCCACGTGGCGTACCACGAGATCTGGCGTAGGACCTATACAGTCATCGCCTTCTTCGTCTACGCAGCTACAGAAAGAGCTCGTCGGGTGACCGCCACGCTATATTGTCGGCGGTTCGTTCAATTTGGACGTCTCTTGGAAACAATCCCGATTCGCGGGCGACGTACCACTCTAGTCCATCGACCATTGCCGTCGAGGCCGCACTTGCACCACAGCTTCGTTCAAGAGCCCGAGCAGCCTGCTCTTTGTCAACTTCTCGGGCTCATCGCTTGTGCCGTTGTTGACGCCTCGTGAAGCGAGCGACCGCAGTGCATTGATCGACAATATTGTACAGTGTACGTAGTTCAAAACGTTGTTTGTTCGATCGAACCGACCTGTCTTGTTTCTCGCTCAAGCGTACGACGACTACAACAGACGTGCGGCGCCAACGACCCAATGCGAACGGCGCAGCGGATGCAGCCGCCTTGAACGGAATCCCTCGACCATCATCGACGCATTGATGCGTGGCATAGCTTTCTTGTGCGTGGATTGTCCGGAACGATCGATCCGAGTTGGACCTAGGCGACGCCAACGACCTTTCCGTCGAGACTTGAAGATGACCAAGATCTCGTAGAAAATAAAAAAAGACAATCAAGCATATCGCTTCACAGCATCAACAGCATCGTGTATGCAGCTACAGATAGAGCTCGTCGGGTGACCGCCACGCTGCGTCGTCGGCGGTGCGCAGGATTCCACGAGGTCAAAGAGACGCCGGTCGTCGCACTTGGCATAAACGTTCGATGGCACGTGCAGAAGGAGCTCGACGTCGCGGCGCAGCGCGCGTGGTCGCACGCCTTCGACCAGCATGGCGCAAAAGAGAGTCGCACCGGCGAAGCGAAAGTTGTTGGCCGCCTCGTTGGCGCGCATACAGTGAGTTGCGACGCGCGCGCGCGGGCGTCGGGAATGCGCATGTCCATGACGAGGTGCACGCGGTAGTGCTGCACGATCGCCTCAATCGACGTTGGCGTCGTCTCTGCCAGCTCGCGCGCGATCCAGGCGAGGATGTCGGCGTCGGCGATCGCTGCCTCGGCCATGCACATCTTGTATTGCGCGAGAAGCCGCAGCGTCGGCGGCGCGATCGTCGCTAGGATCGACTGCCACATGCCTTGGCTTCGCGGAAGGTTGCCAAGGTGGCGAGCGTCGTGTCGGCCAAGACCGGCGCAGCGAGGAGCGTCTCCATGTTGCTGTTCTCATCGTCGTCGTAGGCGAAGCGCTCGTCGAGGCCAGGTTCGAGCTTGATCCTGGGTCACCGTGTTGGCAAATAAACACGTCGCCCAATCGCACGGCGCGGGTGTCGAGTATATTGGCCAATCAGCAAGAAGTCAAAGCCGGGAGCCAATCAAATGGCGTCGGTGCCCGCGGAAACGCACGTGGCAGCCCAACGGGCGTTTTGCTCACACCGACCCCAGGATCGAGCCACTGCGAGATTCCGGTAGATAGATGGATATATGGGAAGATGTATAGATGGTTGAATATATCGATAGTTAGATCGATTCGATGGCGGCATGATTGTTGTCTCTGAGTGTATCTTGCCAATATCGCAATGTGCGTAGTGTAACTAGTAAACAGAATGCGCAGACATGCTAAAGTGAGTTCTCGTGGCATCGAACGCGATGTTTAACGTGCAAATCCAGTGTATTTTTCAGTCTTATATATGATAATCAACTATGCTAGAGCCACCCCTTCGGCCGCTTAGAGCGCCCCCCACGCGAGGAAAACGCCAAGAAGCAGCATCGCACTCGTGGCCGCGGTCTCTGCGTTGGATGTTCGCTGCAGCGTCGATGTGGTGCCCGTGTAGCTGAGTGTGAGTTGGTTGCAGTCGGTGGAGAACGAAATGGGCACCGAGTGCTTTGCGTAGGGCGTAAAGACGCTGCTGCAGACACCCGTGACAGTCGACACGGTGAAAGTTGCCATTGGACCCGAGACCGCATACGTTCCCGTCGTCGAGCACGTGCTGCCGCTGCCATCGTGCGACTCGGTGAAATCCCCAGAGGTGGCAAGGTCCATGCGCATTCCCGTCGCACGGTACGAGCCGCGAAGAGGGCAAGTCAGAGCTGGCGCGGGCGTTGGCGCAGGTGTCGGGGCGCGTGTCGGAGTGCGTATCGGAGCACGCGTCGGAGCGCGTGTCGGAGCGGATGACGGCGCTGGCTTTAGGTTGGGGCAGATGCGGTAGAGAGGACTTGGGTCGGACAACATCTCACCACCATAGATATAGGTGCAGGATGGAAGCGTCTTTTTCATCCACAAGTAGTTTGCTGGGCAGGCCGACGTGCAAAAGCCCGATGGCGCGTCTTCTGGTGTCTTGATAAGAGAAAGACTGTACTCGAGGTCACTGAACATCGCAAGATAAGAAGCGTTGAGAAAGCTCGAGCAGTTGTACCAAAGGTACGCATTATATGCATCGTGCTTGACGGCCATATCCACCATGGAGCAATTGGTCCCGACTGCTGCAGGCATGCACCCATACCGATGTCGGAATTCGTCCATCGTATTGTCCCCGTACGTGTCGACGCAGTTGGGCATCAAATTGGCCATCGCGTTGATGAAGGCCGAGCAGGTGGCGGAGCCACATAGCGCCATGACTATCTCAGTTGTGTAAGATCGAAGTCCGTACAAGTTTGCGTCTTTGACACTGGAGCAGCTGAGCCACATCGGTTCTTCGTACTGCAATCCGTAGGACAAGATTGCGTCTGCCGTTGTGCACGCACCGCCGTTGGTCGTTGGACGCGTCATGTCGGTGCACAGTTGATTTAGTTGCGCGACCTTGGTGAATGTTCCGGCGTCATTAACGCACTCTGGAATGCTGCTCGTGAGGCTCTGCAGGTCGGCCTTGCACGGCGGCCGGCACATGAGGTACTGATCGTCGTCGAGTCCATCCGCGAACGTCATCGAGCTCTTCCAGCTGGGTCTGCTCGCAATGCACGAGGTCGAGACGTGGGCCGCCAAGAAATTCGTGATCTCCGTATCTTGGTCTGCCGTGCAGGACACAGCGGTCGCGGACGTCGCCAGCATGAGCGCCACCGTCGCAGCGCCAAAGAGATTCACGGTGTTCGAGGCGAGGCAAGTGGCTGACTCGGTTCTTTTCGTTCAGGGCAGTGTCGTTTTGGTAGGCGGTTCGAGTGTGGATATTCTTGGCATTGGTCCTCTCCATTTTTGGCTGGATTTGGGTGACGCCATTCCAAGGGCACCAGATGCCTTAGACGGCGTGCTGTGTGCTCTGTGTCTTACGTCCTTTGCTGTAAAGTATTAGTGCCGGTCGCTGGCAGCGGTCGGTGGTCGCGCCGATGGCGCCGCTCTTCGCGCACTCGGCACCCAGAGCCCCTCGACGGTTCAAGGCGTCGAGTCCCCGGCGGCCGTCAAGGAGATGGGACGTCGCCCCGCGGGCGCGATCACCATGCCTCTACGAAGTCCCGTCGCCACTCGGCCCTCCGCCGCCGCCACCAGTCGTACGGCGTCGGTTCTACACTGTATGTGCTCGGTCGGTATCCGATTTATTCAGATGCAGATGCGGGCGGTTTCGTTTGAAACACACCCGACGGCTTGCACTCCTCTGCCGGGTGGTCCGAGTACAGGAGCCTACATACGACCTCGCGCGAGCTATCACTCGGCGAGTGGGGTCCACCACGGGATGGATCTCTCCGTACGCAGCTCACTCCCAACGACCGAGTGCTGGCGCTGACTCCCACGCATTCAGGCGTAGCACTACGTATGCCAAGTCTTTGTAAGGAAGATAACGCGAAGCACGATGATATATATATAGTGCTCTCCAAATACAAGACTTGCAACCACCTCCGGGCAGCTATTAACGTTATTACACGACTGCACGTCCGGCACTTGGCTCGTCGCGCTGTGGTGCCATCGCTTGACGCGCTCGCTTCACGAGGCGTCAACAACGGCACAAGCGATGAGCCCGAGAAGTTGACAAAGAGCAGGCTGCTCGGGCTCTTGAACGAAGCTGTGGTGCAAGTACGGCCTCGACGGCAATGGTCGATGGACTAGAGTGGTACGTCGGCCGCGAATTGGGATACGGATAACGCACCGTGACATTCGCACCTCGAGTTGTTTCCAAGAGACGTCCAAATTGAACGGCCAAATGAATATACATTATTTAGGTTGCACTCTTTCACCATTTCTGCCATCGCGCAACCCGGCGTGGTTGCAAATACGAAAGAAGCCGCGCAGGTTGTCACCTCGCGAGACGACTTACAGCTATCCTAATCGTAGAGACCATGCTGGGGCTCGCACGGTTGTGATATCGCTAATAGTTTGTGACCGAGTTTGGGTAGATGGCGACAGGAAATGTCCATGCCCTTCAACCACTGCGATCACACATCAATGTACACCAAGTAAAGGGAACACCACAGACACGCCTATACGAAGCCATGCGCGTATCCACACTGTATGGATTGGTGTTGTTGATGAAGTGAGTCTAGTGAAATCGTATGGAATGATGTTTATTGATGCGCATATCCTAGTCCAAAAGCATGTATATGTAGAGAACCGCTGGCGGTCGTTCGACTCGAGTGCGACTAGAGCGCGCACCACGCGAGGAGCACACCAAGCAGCATGGTCACGCTGGCCATGGGCGCGCTGGACACTCGCTGCAGCGTCCACGTCGTGGTTAAGGCTGCAGATC